CTGTAGAACTTCAAGCACCGAGAAGGGGTGAAATTACTGTCTTTAGGACATTGCATCAAATCTGCAAGCCTCTATCTCAAATTCAAGTCAGTTTTATTTATTGTTTATATATTGTATTCTGTGTTACAGATTGTTATAAATTCTATTTATATAATTGTTTTAATCAGTCATTGATAATTGTTTTTCCAACAAACCCATCAACAGCTTGAGTCAACGTCCCCTTTTTGAGATGTATTCCATAACTCTTCAGGTCCTACATCCTACGAAAGTCAGACATAGTAGGTCTGCGTTTAGGGGTTGTAGACTCGTCAGTCCCCGGAAACATTGCAGCAGACTGAGACACTGCAACCATCTTGGACAAGTCAGCATCTCCTTCTGACCCGCTAGCTGGTTCCTTGTCTTTACCTCGATTGAGTTGACCATCCATCTCACCAAAATTTCCGTACAGTCCTCCTCCTACCTTTTCCAACCGGTGGCGCCAGTGCGACCGATCGATGCCGCCGGCTGAAATTTGCTTCTTTCTTGGCGGGAACAAAAAACTGGACTTCTTAGAAGTAGTTAGGGCTCTTAAGCCATCATCATATCTCCACCCCTCTGCCTCCATTCTCGAATTTGGGCTTCTTGGACATCCTCTGAAGTGACCAAGCCATCCACACATCGTGCAAAAATCTCTCAAGCCTTCATATTGTAGCCTTATTTTCCCTCTTCCCAAGATCAGGCATGGCTTAAAAAATCCAAGAGGGAGCGGCTTAGTTGCATCAATGTCAATCCTCAACCTTATGAAGCCTCTAAACCCCACTGTGTCAATATTCTCCACTTCTAGGATGACCCAATCCTTTCACCAAGTTGCCTTGCATTCGTCAAAGTACAAAGGTTTCTTGGCAACACGTGAGCTTGGACCTAGAAGATTGCCCTGTAAGACATGATTTCATCCAGTGAAATATAGTTGGGCCATGGTTTGATCGTAAAGGTGTTCCCTTTTATGAACCAAGGGTTGCCCTCCATCAATCTTCGAGCATCCTCCTCCTCACCTACAGTAATGGAGTAGACGTTCTTTTTAGCATAAAGAACCTTCACAACACCCATGTTGCCCTATATTGCTCTCAAGACGTCTTTCACCATAGACTCTGGTGGTTCATGGTCAGCCACCAACAATCCCACCATTGATATCTTGTTTTCTATTCTCTCTTTTATAGATCTGAACTTTCATCTAACCTGATGGAGAACTCATCTAGCATCAGTCCATCTGCTTGTTTCTCAGCCCAATCCATTTGGGAAGAGATTAGAGGAGCACCACTCTGTAACTTGGTCACAGCACACAAAACAGATTTTGATTTATCTGCACATAACTCTCACCAGAGAGCACCCTACGGGGTTTTTGTTTAGAATGAGAATATATGAACAAACTGATGGGTGGAATTGGAGCATTATGGATAGTCGCGTGATGATGATATAAAAAGATAGAAAAAATAAGAAATGGTTTTCATGTCTGAAATTTTCTTTGCTACGGAAGAGAAGGTTGAAGAAGGGGCTTGGGAGAAAGAGCGATAGAGGATACACATAAACAAACCCAAATTAGCAGAAAGTTGAGAGAAAAATAAATAATAATAAAAGAAACTTTGGGATTCAATTTTGATCTGCTTCTGCTGGTAATTCTTCTTCTTATGCTTCTGCTTTGTTCTCACTTTTGAAAGATAGGAGTTTCACAAAAGTAAAAGGTCTGATTGGATTGATTTCCAAAGATAAAAAATAAAAAAAATAAAAAAAGTTATTTGTACCAATGGTCCCTCAACTATACTCGGAGTTACATTTTGGTCACTCAACTCAAATATTAGTTGTAGAGGTCACGCAATTGGGTGTTGTGTTGCACCATTAGTCCCTACCATCAAGTCTCTCTAACGGTAGGGACTAATGGTGCAACACGACACCTAATTGAGTGAACTCTGTAACTATTTTTGGAGTTGAGTGACCAAAATGTAACTCATAGTATAATTGAGGGATCATTGCTACAAATAATCCTAACTTAAAAGTCACATTTTCCCATCAATAATCTAAGAGATGTTTGTCATGTCATCATTTTAAACAAAAAAAGTCACAGACTTAACAATAGGGACTAATGGTGCAACAAAACACCCAATTGAGTGACCTCTACAACTAATATTTGAGTTGAGTGACCAAAATGTAACTTTGAGTATAGTTGAGGGACCATTGCTACGAATAACACCCCCCCCCCCCCCCCCACACCACCCCTCCTATTCATTCACAAAAAAAAAAACTCTATCTTTTCATACAATACCTAAATATATTTATATATTCTATCTTTTGATAATGTTTAAAACCAACAAAGGTAATTGAAGAGCATGGTTTGAAGTACAGCTTGTTCCAAATGTTGTTTCCAACTCACCTTTGCGTTTTTTTTTTTTTTTGGGTAAGAAGCTCAATCCTTTTGTTATCCAAACCATAACTCTGTTTTCTTTTGGAAAGTGTAACTGTACAAGATTTTGCTTCTTGCCATCAATTAATTCCATTTGTAGTCAGAGAACTCATGATTTTGGCAATCTTGTTTGGATTGTTTGTATTGCTTGCAAGGTTTATAATGGCATTGTTTGCAACTATTCTTAGCCATATTGATATGGTTGAAAACTCTTCACCATTTAAGCCAAACAATATCTCTATTCAAGTCACTTGATTCTAATATCAAAAAAGCCTTTGTTGAGCAATTGCTCAGTGAAAATGCTTGAAGGAGGCAACATCCGATAAATTGGAAACACCACAAGTAGCTACTATTGCTTTTGTGTTTTTTGCTTTATTAGTGTCAGTTTGGAATTATGGATGTTTATTTTTATATATGGGTTTTTGGTTGATTATTATTATTGTTACTCTGTGAGCTTGTGGAAAGTAATATGTGAACTTGAATTTGTAGTTTCAAGTCATGTGGATGACTTTTACATATATATATATATATATATAATATCTAACGTTTGCATCTATAAATATTATATGACTTTTGCTTGATATGATGTTGGGATGGTTTGGAGCTTGTCTCACCATGAACAAAGAAAGGAAGAATAAAAGGTAGAGGTCTTGTGGCTAAAGGTTTGGCAATTGACAAACAGACATTTTGTTTTTGCAATGATGGCAATTGCATGTTGTGTTTGCAATTACTTAATGACGATTTGGCAATTTGCATAAGGGAAGTGTTCTTAAAATATAGGCAAGTTTTGGAAAATTTAATACCAATTTTTGGCCTTGGAATTATAATTAAAATAGTTGATAATTAAAATATTATCATTTCAAAGAAAATTTTAAAAATTTTGTCCCAGTCCAAGCATAAACCAAACACAGGATAGTATTATTTTCGTTATCCAGTTTCTTAGTCCGACGCAGCACCAAACGTAGGTCAGTACTTAATCCAGCTTAGACCAAGCCAAGCCAATCCACGATAGTCCCAGAATTTAGTCCCGTCTATAACAGTCTGCCGTACCAAACGACCCCAAAGAGTGTTAATGAGCTCTAGTAGTTTCATCCGAAAGGGTTCCTTTCCCCTTATGGATCGGCTCACAAGGACAGATCAACCGCTGACGTTGGACAGCATCCAAGTATCCTCCTCCAGCTTTCATCATTAGGGACTCTTTCCTATAAATATAGAGGCTCTACAGCAGCACAAGAGGGCTCTCTCTCCAAAATCAAACGCAACGTCTTGTAAACACTTGAACAAACTTCAAAATTTTTTGAAATATCCAATTTGCTGCCTAGATAACCAATTGAAAACTCCTGCGTTTATCTTTTTATTGCTCTGCCATCCCTATGGTATGATTCTTGTTTAAACACTCAATATAGTTCTCTGCTAAATAGCTGAAATATGTACTGATTGGATAAGAGAAATCTCTAGTCTTTTCAATATTGTAATTTGTTCTTGAAGAAACAACTAAATGGAGAAATTTTTGGCTTTTATTTTAATATGTTATCATGCTGGGGTTGGATAGAGAAATCTCTAGTTCCTGGAAGTTGTACTTTCTTTACAGCTTACATTAATCATATTCTACATTATTGTCATTTACCTTTTGCATCATACATTCTGGCAATTTGCTTTCCTATTTCTTTTATATTTGAACCTGTTGAATATAACTGCTCATTTCTAAATAGACCAACAATAAGGGTTTTAGGTCCGAACAGGGCTTCGTTAGCTCGAAAACAAGGGCTTGCCTTGGCCCGAATCATACTATTTGGCCCAAATTATCTAAATCTTGACCTAATATAGGGCCATTTTGGGCGCGAAATAGGTTTCTAAACCTAATCAACGGAGCATTAACCTCAACATTGGATTCCTTCTTTTTTGGTCAAGTATCATCTGTATATGTTAAACCAACTGCGCACAATTGAAAGAATATTGAAGTCCTCTTAATTGAGGCATAGAAAAGAACTCATCCAAGCGAATACCCCCACTTGGAGCACAATGGCTTGATCAGAGGTCCAAAACAAGCGCAAGTACATTAAAGAGACACTCTACATCACATATACCAAGTCTATTGGACTAGTCTCATCCCCAATAGTGGCACGCCTACACAACCTACGATCAAGACGTAAGAAACAAGTCGTCAGGGCCCAGCTCGAGCTCGCCCACTCTTTTCAACATGATCCAACTTTCAATTTTATCTGAAATTGAAGGAGTCCTCTCAAGAGGTAGAAATCCAATCGGGGCAATGGTGTTGGCTTGACTCCTTCCTATTCTCCGAAGCAGATTGACCCGAGGGAGGGAGGCGAAAAAAGGACCAACAGCTCCAGCTACTTGTATTAAAGCTATCTACATTATTGCTTTTTTCCTCATTGACAACCCTATGATTTTCTATATGTCCAAGATTTGTTGGGAGCTTTAATGGAGGCATTGAATGCGCCTGAAATATTTGGTTAGCTTACAAGAACAGCAGAGTCAAGAAATTTCCTAAAATATTTCACTTATTTGAAACTTGAATTCTCCTACTCATGCAGAAAGAAGAGCTATGGAAATCTTTACAATGCTCTTTGTCTTTACGTCACTTCTGTTCTCCATTCTAAGTATCTCCAACACCAAAGACATCATCACTCCAAGTGTATCGATCAGATATGGAGAGACCCTTGTTTCCTCCGGTGGAAGCTTCCAATTAGGATTCTTTAGACCTGGCAATTCGAGTAACCAATACTTGGGAATATGGTACAATGAAATATCTCCTCAGACAATTGTATGGGTGGCCAACAGAGAAAATCCACTTACTCATCTCTCAGCAGGAGCTTTGAATATCACTGATCAAGGAGCTCTTGTTCTTTTAAGTGACACAAATAGAAATAGCATTGTTTGGTCATCCAACACTTCAAGAAAATTCATAAGGAAACCAGTTGCTCAGCTCCAAGAATCAGGAAATCTTGTTGTGAAAGATGGAAATGAGCTTGTGTGGCAGAGCTTTGATTATCCAACTGATAATTTGCTACCAGGAATGAAGCTTGGCTGGAACTTGAAAACCGGGCTAAACAAAGTTTTGTCTTCTTGGAAAGATGCAGATGATCCAGCTCCGGGCGAATTCTCATTTTCCATAGATCGTAGTGGATACCCTCAACTGGTGGTTAAGAAAGGTCCTAGAGCACAGTATAGGTTGGGTTCATGGAATGGCCTTGGTTTTACAGGGAGTCCTGAACTTGGATCTGGGAATGAATTATTCAAATTCGACTTCGTGTCGAATGAGAGTGAGGTCTCTTACAGGTTTGAGCTCCTGAAGGATGCATTGCATTCAAGATTACTGCTGAACTTGTCCGGTGGCTTGCAGCGGTTCATGTGGGTTGATAAATCACAGAGCAATAACATAATTTACTCTGCTCCGGTAGATCGGTGTGACACCTATGATTTATGTGGTGCATATGCATTTTCTCTCTGCAAGCTTGGTGCTGATCCTAAATGTTCATGCTTACAAGGTTTTGAACCAAAATCTCCAAGATACCAGAATTCGAAAAACGCATCTTTGGGGTGTGTTCCTAAAACTCCACTGGGTTGTAGTAATGGAGACGGATTTCAGAATTTCACTAGGGCAAAATTACCGGATACATCTTCGTCATGGATCAATAGTACTATGTCCCTCGAGGAATGCAAGAAAATGTGTTTGAGAAACTGCTCTTGCACAGCATATGCAAATTTGGATATTAGTGAAGGAGGAAGTGGATGTTTGCTTTGGTTTGGTGACCTCATTGATATAAAAGAATTCGACTCTGGTGGGCAAGACCTTTTTGTCCGGACAGCCCTCTTGGGATTAGGTACTTGGTTTTGTTTCATGTTCTTTCAAGTTAGTTTCTTCCTTACTTTTTTTCTGGTCTTGTTTATAGGATGTTATGTTGAGCACAAGGGAAAGGCTGCACTAATGATTAACAAATTATTTGATTCTAACTTTTAGTTGTAACTTGGAACACATCACTAAATCTACTTGTGATCTTTCAGATGACATCAAGACAAGCAAGCCCTCTGGTGTAAAGAAAAAAGTGGCAATCATAGCCAGCGTTGGGCTGCTAGGCATGGGAATGATAATACTAGGATTGGTTTTTTACAAGCGGAAGAAGAAATTGAAAGCACAAGGTAGAAATTAATTAACATCACCATTTTGTTGATCATGTGTTACACAGAGTTCTCTGTTTTTCCTTTCTGTGTTTTTTTTTTTTTTTTTTTTTTTTTTTTTTGGGTTGTCATGCTTTTCACTAAGAGTAGGAGAGGACAAAATTCTGGAAGGTGACAGATTTTTTTTTATCCTCCCTTCCTCTTCCTGTTTTGGAAGAATCATGAACTTATTGCTTCATCAACTGTCTCAGGAAAAATGAAAAATATACGTGAAAAGAACTTTGATTTTGAATTCGGAAACGAAGACTTGGAGCTGATAACATTTGATTTGGCCACCGTATCTAGAGCCACTGATAATTTCTCAAACAATAACAAGCTGGGAGAAGGTGGCTTTGGACCAGTATACAAGGTAACAAAAGTATAATGTGATGTATTATTAGTTCAAAAATATATCTCTCAACTGACTGGAAATGATGCTTTCTAGGGCATACTGATAGAGGGGCAAGATATAGCAGTCAAAAGGCTTTCAAAATGTTCGGGGCAAGGAATTAAAGAATTCATGAATGAAGTAATATTGATTGCTAAACTTCAACACAGAAATCTTGTAAAGCTTCTTGGTTGCTGTATTGAGGGAGACGAAAAAATGTTAATTTATGAATACATGCCCAACAAGAGCTTGGACTACTTCATATTTGGTTTGAACCTCCATCAACTATGCTAGCACTCCCATCAGTCTTTTCATAATTCATCTTAAATTTTTTGTTCTAAAATTAAGTGTAGATTAAACTAACTTTTATGATCAATTGGTCAGATGATACAAGAAGTAAATTCCTCGGTTGGGATCAACGCATCAATATCATCGGTGGAATTGCTCGAGGACTTCTTTATCTTCACCAAGATTCTAGACTGAGGATAATCCATAGGGATCTTAAAACCAGCAATGTTTTGCTAGATAAAGATATGAATCCAAAAATATCTGATTTTGGCACGGCTAGAGCATTCGGGGCAGATCAAACTGAGGAAAATACTAATAGAGTGGTTGGAACTTAGTAGGTAGCTCTGAATTTGTCTCATACATTTTACGTTGTTGGTGAACTCGTAACTCCAACTTCATTTTGCAGTGGCTACATGTCTCCTGAGTACGTAGTTGATGGAATCTTCTCAATCAAATCCGATGTCTATAGCTTCGGTGTCATGGTGCTGGAGATAGTGAGTGGGAAGAAGAACAGGGGATTTTATCATCCGGACCACCAGCTTAACCTTCTAGGACATGTAAGCTTTATTAAAGCACAACTTGTTCAAGCTTACTTCGTACGTTTTTTTTAACATGGGAAGGAAGGAAGAGCATTATAACATAAATTTGATTAATTTCAGGCATGGACTCTATGGATTGAAGGAAGGCCATTGGAAGTACTGGATGAGGTGTTAGATGGCTCGTGTCCTCTACCAGACGTGTCGCGATGCATTCACATAGCTCTGCTGTGTGTGCAGCAACAACCAGAAGATAGACCAAACATGGCATCTGTGGTGCTGATGTTGGGTGGTGAGGGTTCATTGCCTGCGCCCAAACAACCTGGTTTCTTTACTGACAGGAACCCAGTTGAAGCAGATTCTTCATCCATCAACCGTGAATCTCACTCAATAAATGAGATGACTGTAACGCTGTTGGAGGCAAGATAGAACCTCTTTTCCTCAAATACGATATGGACCTAATAATTATATACATTTTGTTTTTTTTTTGTTTTTTTTTTTGGTGTGAAAATTTGCACAAATACAATATGGACCTAATAATTTTTCTTTTTTACAATTTACCACCTATATTTATTCCAAATGTACCATTTCCGTTGAATTTTATGTTAAGTGAAGTCACATGAATCATGACAAGCAAATGCTATTTTCTACAGATATTTTATCAAAATAGTGAGCAGAAACAAAATTGCCTGTCATTTCATATGAATGCTCATTTTTAGTTTTCAAAGCAAACAAGGGCACATTTGTAACTTACTTAAGAAATTTAGGTACTCATAGTAAAACTTAAGAACTCATATGCGGTGTGCTCGCTTTCTACAGTCGAGTTAGTTCAATTCACCAAAATAGAAATTCGTTTCTTCTTATTTTCGAGCACTTTTTATGATGGGTATGGTCTATTTCTATGATACCATTTTAAAATCATCTGTCTAAATAGAACTATTACAAGCAAATCGATAAATTTATTATTTTCATTAAATACTGAAATGGCCACACTACTAATTAAATAGCTGAACTAGTTTTTTATTTTATTAGTTTTTTCAGGAATGATGATTATAAAAATGTAAAAAGACTTTCATGAAACGGGAATATCACATTTCTATTTAAACCCTGCACTTCTCTTTGTTCACTCAATGTTCTAAGTTCACCTCAACTTCTAATTCAAATTTTTACAATTTCTAAGAAAACCCCGCACTTCCTAAATACACACCCAGCAAAAACAAAAAAAAAAACAAAAACTCATCAACCTCACACCGCAGGTTATAATTGATTCACAACCTTTGACAGTAGCTATACTTGAGGCCTTGTTCTTCGGCGAGAACATTGCGTTCCTTGGAGCTATAGGCCTTGTTCTTGGTGTAATTGGACTTTTACTTCTTGAGGTAAATCTTTTCTTTTCTTCCATGGCGTTGTCAGTTTCATTCCATTGGCTTTTGATTATTCTAGCCAATGCTTGCTTATTGCGATTTCAAATCTTGAATTCATAACTTTAATTGCAAACCAACAACATGTGAATGCACAACTTTTATTTGTTTGACAAAGACTGTTTTCTTCCCCAACGGAAAATGCTTCCCAAGCGTGTTGAATGTTTTGTCATCATCAACTGTTAATTCTTTATGATGTATTGTTAATTTGACATTGTAACGACCCGGTCCTAAATAATTTGGCGAATATTAATTTATTCAAATAAAAGGACCATTTTGCCCCTAGAATATTTTATGAGGTTTAAAGTTGACTTTTTGACCGGGGAATTCGGGGCGGGTCCTGTCAGCTTGGTATCAGAGCAAGCATCAACTACTCGGGTTCCCACGTTTCATCCTCCACAACATGTAGGCAGCCAAGCCAATAGCTCCATCCAAACAAGCAGAGGAAGAGAAGTCTTCTTCTTCCACTAAGAATATCCTTTAATAGCTGTTGTAATGCTTAATCTTCCTCTGAAAGCTAAACGCTTCCATTTGTGATTTGATTCTCTTCTAGCTCTCCCATGAAGAGAAGTCCAAACTCTTTGGGGTGACAAGTATGAAATTTCGGCGACGAAATTTTTATAAGGGGGTAGTCTGTAACGACCTGGTCCTAAATAATTTGGCGAATATTAATTTATTCAAATAAAATGACCATTTTGCCCCTAGAATATTTTATGAGGTTTAAAGTTGACTTTTTGACCGGAAAATTCGGGGCGGGTCCTGTCAGACATTACTCTATAGAGAGACTTTCCTGAATTGGTAATTCTAATAGTTATCATAAGCTCTTCTGTCAGATACAATTGTAAGGCCATAGACAATGTTTTGTTCATTTCTTCATCGTGGATTTTCATGGGGTTGATCTTGATGCTAGAATAGTTTAACTTGTGCAGTTAGGTTTGTGGGGGAACTTCTCACATTACATACCTCAAATGACAGGCCACAAGTCACTATTTGCATACCATTTGTAAAAAGAAGATTAGAGTGTAGTAGGTTTCTTGGATTGAAAGAGATAGTAATCCAGCAATAGAGTGTAGAGAAGTTTGTGTTTTTCTGAAACTTAATATAAAGAGTGTTGGGGTGTGTGTATAGATGTACTGCGATTAAGTATTAAGTTAGATAAGATTAATGATTTAAGTATTGGGGTAAATAAAGAAAAATATGGGGTTTAAATAGAAAAACTCACCGGGGATAGCAGCCGTCATTTTCTTCCCTTTCTACCTTTTTAACTCTTTGCTTTCGATATTTGCAACCGCTCATTTTTAAGAGAAAAGTTGCAACGGGATATTTGTTAGTTGGTTTCAGACCATTGTGGAAACACAGATTACACTGATGATATTTGGATGCCGCAGATGAAAACAACAATGCCGCCACTGTTCTCTGTCTTTGACGATCTGCAAGTGCCAAAAGTTAAGTACCCACCAAATTTTCTCTTCTTTGAATTCTCTTTTGAAATTTCAAAGTCGAACGAACTAGATGGGCAAAGATTCTGAGAGAAAAAGCTCAAAATTCTTTTAGCTAAGGCAGAAGCAATGTGAAGTCTTGGGTTGATTTTCGTCTGATGTGAACTGATAATGACTGGGATTTCTGTACACAAGAAATTTTGTACAAGAAGGAACCCAGCAGTAAAAGAATGGAAAACTTTTAGTCCAAACCGCGTTTTGTATTCAACTGATGACAGGTAGGGCCTCACTATTGATGGACTGACTCATGTAGCAAACTCATGCGTGAATTAACAGTAGTACTATATAGATGAAGCAGGTGGCAAAGAAAAATCTAATTTTGCCTTGTGAATATACCTACCCATTTCACAATTTCCACAATTATTTGACGTTTGGATGAGGCTGGTTATAATATTCTCAATTATCAACCACAAGCATCTTTTCTTTCTAATCTTTAACTTGAAGGAAACCTCTCGCAAGGACAGAGAAAAAATAAAAATTAATTAATGGGTGGTCTTTGTTTTCTGCTTATTAGTACTAATTTGCTCTTTCTGTTTTTCACAATTTCCTCTGCAGTTGACAGCATTAGCCTCTCGCAGTCTATCAGTGACAACACGACGTTGGTTTCTAGTGATGGAAGCTTTGAGCTTGGTTTCTTCAGTCCTGGTAGCTCCACGAATCGTTACTTGGGAATTTGGTACAAGAACATGAACATCCCAGGTAGAACTGTTGTTTGGGTTGCAAACAGATGCAACCCCATTAATGATTCTTCCGGCATGTTGATGATAAACAGCACAGGCAATCTTGTGCTGTTTGGTCAGAACAAGAGTGTTGTTTGGTCCACAAGCTCAGTTAAACGTGTTGAAAATGCAATGGTACAGCTTTTAGATTCTGGAAATTTGGTAGTAAGAGATGCGAAAGATGGAATTTCAGGACCCTATTTGTGGCAAAGTTTCGACTATCCTTCTGATACATTGTTACCAGGAATGAAGTTGGGATGGGACTTAAGGACGGGTCTGAAACGACACATATCGGCATGGAAAAACTCAGAAGATCCCTGTCCAGGAAATTTCACGTATGGGATTGAAATGGAACGTCAAGCGTACCCTGAGGCATATATTCGCAATGGCACTGCGAAAATTTATCGTGCCAGTCCGTTTAATGGCCTCACTTTCTGTGGTTCATCAGAGAAACATCCTGCTCGTTACGGTTTCAGCTTTGTGTACAATGATGATGAAGTGTACTACATGTACAAACCTACCATTAAGTCTATAACCTCAAGAATAGTTTTGAACCAAACCACCAGTTCATGTATTCGGTTTCATTGGAAGAAAGAAGATGAAGCTTGGACTGCCCATTTATCAAGACCTAGAGATGTGTGTGATCATTATGGCTTCTGTGGAGCGAATGGAAATTGTATTGGTGAGAATCCAGTCTGCCAATGTCTAAAGGGATTCAAGCCTAAGTCTCAAGAAAAATGGAATTTGGCGGACTGGTCTCTAGGATGTGTGCGCAATAAACCCTTGAGCTGTCAGAAAACAGATAAAGATGGGTTTCTCAAACTCGTTGGCTTGAAATTGCCAGATACTACGCATTCTTGGGTGAACAAAAGTATGAATCTCAAGGAATGCAGAGCCGAATGCTTGAACAACTGTTCTTGTATGGCTTATAGAAGCTCAGACATCAGAGGAGGTACTGGCTGTGCCATCTGGTTTGGTGATCTAATAGATACCACACAGGCTTTGACTTCTGGGCAGGAAATATATATTCGAATGTCAGCTTCGGAGTTAGGTATGAAACTTTGTAACGTAAAGTTGCTTGTTTATGTCACCAGTGCATTTTGCTTTTATCAAAGTTAAAGAACTGACCAATCTTTTTGAATTTTTTTTGTGGCTGCAATTTAACTGTATTTGCTTTACTACATCATTCAACAATGAAGAAGAAAATGACGGTAAGCTGAAGACTGCATTGATAGTTGTAGCTGTCATAGCAGTGGTGTTTTCTGGAGTGCTGTTAGTTGCCTATTACATTCACCGGAGAAGGAAAAAATTAAAGGGTAGATTAACTCACCCTGACCATCTTTCCAAGTATTTATTTATCCATGTTTTTAAACTCTGTTTTGATGACTATTTGACAGAAGTTTTATCTAGTTTAAATTTGTTCGAAAGTATATGGTTGAACCAATATGTATTTCATCTGCGGATATAACCTTTTGTTCACTTACTCCTATTGGCTATAGCTAACATGATGTCCATTTCCCCTGCGTGAGAGAAAACAGAAATAAGAGACAGAAATCAGGACAATGAGGGGGCACCAAAGGAGGACCTGGAGCTCCCGCTCTTCGAATTGGCCACTGTAATTAGTGCCACAGATAACTTTTCAAGCAATAACAAGCTGGGAGAAGGTGGCTTTGGACCAGTTTACAAGGTAAATTTGTAACTTGTATAATAAGGGGCATATTAACTTGCTTTACAGGGTAGCAGTATTTGAAATAGTGTGAATTTACAGGGGACGCTAGCAGATGGACAAGAAATTGCTGTGAAGAGGCTTTCAAGAAGTTCTGGCCAAGGAATGAACGAGTTCATGACTGAAGTTATACTGATTGCCAAACTTCAGCACCGAAATCTGGTAAAACTTCTTGGTTGCTGCGTTCAAGGAGACGAGAAAATGCTGATCTATGAATACATGCCCAATGGAAGCCTGGACTCATTCATCTTTGGTTTGGACTTTTGAAAACCTTATTAATTTGCTCAAAATTAATGCTTAATAGCTATAAAACAATTTCATATTTAAGCAATTTTCTATAGAGAGTTGAAGTTGGATTTGCATTCAACTTTGCCAGATCAAACGAGTGGAGAACTACTGTTAGATTGGCCTAAACGTTACCACATTATTTGTGGAATTGCTCGTGGTCTACTCTATCTGCACCAAGATTCCAGGCTAAGGATTATTCATAGAGATCTCAAAGTAAGTAATGTCCTACTTGATAATGAAATGAATCCAAAAATTTCGGACTTTGGCTTGGCTCGAACATTGACTGGGGGAAATCAGACTGGAGGAAATACAAACAGAGTGGTTGGAACTTAGTAAGTTTGTCTTTTAATATTTTCTGTAGGTACACTTTTAATCCTGATCAATGGTTTCTGTTGTGATCTCACTTCTCCATGATGTTTCTGTTTTCTACAGCGGTTACATGGCACCCGAGTATGTTGTTGACGGTCAATTTTCTGTAAAGTCTGATGTCTTTAGCTTTGGTGTTTTGGTGCTGGAGGTCATTAGTGGAAGGAAAAACAAGGGATTCTACCATCCAACCAGCCCTAACCTTATTGGACATGCAAGTATCAAGAGTAAACTTTCTTCTTGCTGCATATATTCGCTGAATAGATGGTAATTGATGAAGGATTTTTGGCATGTTTCAGGCATGGAGATTATGGAATGAAGGAAGGCATTTAGAACTGATTGATACATACTTAGGAAGTGCATCTACTCTATCAGAAATGTCGCGTTGCATCCATGTTAGTCTCTTGTGTGTGCAGCATCATCCTGAGGACAGGCCAAGCATGGCGTCTGTGGTTATAATGCTGGGAAGTGAGATGGCTTTGGCTCAGCCCAAACAACCTGGTTTCTTCATGGAAAAGGAATCACATGAAGCAGGTCATTCTTCAGAAAAGCAATCATCTTCAGCCAACGAATTATCCATTACGGTTTTGGAGGCTCGATAAGGTTCGATTATATATGTTCTTGCTGCTATCTTGACATGTTCATATATTTCCAAAACATGCAAGTTTGTAGATTCAAGTGGTTCTGTACTTGGTTCAAGCATTGAGGCTAGATAAATACCACAAAGCTATTCATCTCATGCTACGTCTATTTTTCTCTATATATTTGTTCAGTATATTTCCTTCGATCCCTCTCCTTTTCTGTATGAGATTCCATTCCCTCTCCATTTTTTTTCCCTTTGGTGCAAATTGCAACAATTTATAAAGTGATATTCTAAACCATTCTAATATACGGATCCAATTAGATACAAAAGGGGCACATTTTTCATGCTTCATGTCCATAAGAACACAAGAGAAAAGATTGATGATGTTCGACATGCTTCATGTCTTGTATGCGATATATATATATATATATCAAGAAAATAAGGTTTTTATTATATCAAGATCTGATTTTTTTTTTTCCATCAATAAAGATGTGCTTATTACTATGTAACTTATAAGAGGAATGCTAGCAACTTTCTCTCTAACATTCTATTTTGAACATTCTCCCTTCTCCTCATGACAAGTGTCACTTTCCTTATACTTAAATTAAAACAATATTATTAATGCATAACACAAGTTAGTTTTTGTTTTCTAAGTTTACCCTTATTAAATGTATTACCTTTTATATTTCCTTCAATTCATCCAAATTTTGTTACAACTTCCTTAACACATTGTTAAAAATTAAAATTTAAAAAAAAAAACAACATTTAAAAAAATAATGATAAAGTTTGTTTCATGACATTGTTATTATGAAAGTGATATCATCATTATTTTGTGTTTAACAAAACATACGTCCTCTTTGAGGAAAAAAAAAAAACTTAAGTTTCTATTTTCTTATTTAATTTTTTAACAAGGTAGTAAGAAAGTTGTAAAAAACACTAGCTTGTTAGTAATAAAATGAGTTAATACATTCAATAAGAGTAAACTTGGAAAACAAAAACTAGTTTGTGTGATGTATTAATGACATTATTTTAAGTCTAAGGAAAGTGACACTTGTCATGAGAAAAATGGAAAATATCCAAAAGAGAATATTAGAGAGAGAGTTGTCAGCATTCCCCAACTTATAATCCTAAGTTCCACAATTATGATAATGGGTTAGTTCATGTAATCTTAGCTTATAGATCTTGGCAAAAACAAAAGAAAAAAAAAACAAAGGTCATATGAATCTTCCCAAAAATTGAAAAAATAAAATAAAATCTGACGGAGCATCAAACACAATATAACTTAGTCAGACTATTTATCCAGAATAGTACCAAACGCTTTATAATTTTATGAATAAATAGTTAGTCATCTCCGGAACAGATTAATACTATCCTATAGAAATTAGTTAGCACAGTTCAACGTACCAAACACCTTAAAAACATGTATAGTTTACATTGCAATCAAGGTTAAGATCTAAAATTTAAAAATTTAAAAAAAAAAAAGATATTTAAATAAATAAATTTTGGAAAAAAATAACAGGACCAACCCCGGAATTCCCCTAAACCGGAGCGAATCCCGTCTTTTTGCCAACATCACCCCGATGTCGGGCCCACTTAATAAAAACCAAGACTTTCTACCAAAAATTTGGCAGAGTCTCCCTTGTAATTATGCACAAACCCAACAAAATTCAACCTGCATAATATACATAATATGAATCCTAACGGCCAACATGCTTTCAACATTTCACTAAACATACTAAATGGCCTCCGGCCTCAAGTAAAAACCTAACATGGGAAATAACAGCGCATCTAATAGAATTAGTTTACAACAACAGTTGAGTAAAAGGAAATTACACAGATCCTAACTAGGAAAGTAAACGGTTCAGCCTCGAACACAGCTTGCAAATTTCCAAAACCAACTACTGTCTGGGGGGCGCAAAACAAAAATATGTGAGTGAACAAAAACAAAGTTTGTATTTAAAACAACATAATAACCCCACCATGTAAAAATAATGCTCAAGTCATGCCTGTTCACAATTCATAAACCAAAGCTCAAAAACATTAATCTCAAAAATCCATTAAACCCCAAACTCTCCAACCACAACTCTAATCCCAAAACTATCCTGCTCTTACCAACCCACTACATACATATATATATAGATACATAATTATAAATATAACATATACTTCTCTCATTACTAATGTACCGGGAAAACAATCGAACCAAGGGATTGTTTGGCTAGCCAGCAGAATTTCTAAGCGCTATCTTGCGGCTAGGGATGAGCGGTCCAACCGGGGGATGAAACTCTATAGCTCACACACCGGCACTGCCAACGACATGTGTAGCTCACAAACTCATAACCAAGTCCTACGTGCGCAGACCACACCATCACACACCGGCACTACCAACGATATGTGTGATGATTCCAAGCAATATACATACTCTTCTCATATACCGGCACTGCCAACGATGCGTATGGGAAGTGTCTCACACACCAACACTGCCAACGACGCGTGTAAGACCCACAATCACATGTTCTTCCCACACGCCAACACTGCCAACGACACGTGTGGGAAGTCTAGTAACCAGGGGATGGTACTAACATAGTGTAATCTTACATTTTCTCTCAACACCCCTTTCATACTCAAATCTCTCCACAATCTCACATCAACAACTCACATATCTCACACATAAACCATATATACAATATAGATAGTATTTCCCAAAATCCACACACATGCTCTCAATACTCAAATATGTCAAACCCACAATATATTGCCAAAGCGCTATACAAACATCAAATTCAGCAACCAAATATATATTATATCACAATTACCATTTAAAATATATGCATAAATCTTTTGTCAGTAAAACCATGCGTATGATTGAAAACAAAGTCCACTCACGAGTAATCCCAAGCTGCTCGACCCTGAGAAGGTCCTGCCTGCTGAGTACAATCGAATTGAGCACCTATTTTGAGATACGAACCCTGAATTAATATAAAATCCCTTTGAAACGGAAATCCCAAAAGAAAATACTTAAATCCCCAAATTCTCCGTGCGTCTACGTAGAAAGAGGTATCCTAAGGTCCGGTTTCAGGTTTAGAAATCGCTCACAAAAGGACGGTTCTCGCTAACCACAAACTTTGAATTATTGAATCAGAACATCCGGGCCTCCGATTCACGATCCGTGAATTCCTATACAACTCTAAGAGTGCCTAGAACAACATACTTCAATTTGGAAACGATCCAACTGTCAGAAACTAGGATAACGCACAAAATACGAAATACGTACGTCCGAATTGAGATCTGCGAAATCCTACGCACTCATGACAACCTGAGGATCTCATCAGGACATTTTGCAACTTCACAACCTTTGGCCACGCTCCGCCACACGCGCCGGCAGCCCATGGGTGTGTAGAGTAATTTCCGGCGACGGAAAACTCCACACCACAGCTCACCCTTTCAATCCTAGATACTACTCAAGGCAAGGATCACTTCCTTCAACTACTAGGAGGTCCAATTCGTAAGGCAACTAGCCGGAATTTCACCTTGAAATTCGGCCAAAACCTAGGTCGAAATCTAACTTCCAAACTTCAAAATTGTTCGAATCCTACCCCATAAACAGCTAGAACAGATAAAAAAGGAAGAAAACCCACCATTTCACCGGAAATAGACGACGAAGACGGCGGCGCAACGTCGGAAAAAATCCGGTTTGAACCAGTCGATGTCGTCGACGATTCTCGAGTTTTCCGATCGGGATTTTGGGTGGTTCGTGTTCTTGGCTTCACGATGAGGCGAATGGGACCAGTCTCGAGGGCTGGGGTGGTCGAAAATGGCGGCTGTATGGTGGTTTCCGTCTCGGTGAACAGTAATAGGAGGGGTTTGCACACATAAAGGGACTCGGGAGAGAGAGAAAGTGAATTTTCAGATTTTTAGAAATAATTACGGATTCGCCACCGAAATTATTTTGATCGCCAAATCTTCGTTACAACTCCGATTCAAGCCTACTGCATGTCTACGGATTCGTCTCAGTACCACCTACGCAACCAAACCACTCAGTGTCCCAAAGTCCCTCCGGATAAGAAAATGACCAAAAATACCCCTACCCTAGGGGTAAATTGTAAATTTACTTAAACAAATTAAAATATGAATTAAATTTGGAGTCGGGGTGTTACAAATAAAATGTTTTTTTTTTGTTCTCTCTATAACTCGTACCCTCTCTAAAACCCCAAGTGCAACACACTTCATCCACTTTCTCTTCCAAAACCTTCTTTATTCGTTTATTTTTCACTTAGTATAATTGATGAAACAAAAACCAGGCCATATGACCTACTTGTGTAGTAGTTTGGATCAAGGTCTAAAATATTGATGATTTCTGAAATATTGGTAGTCCAAAAATACAGAAATTTCGATGAAAATATTGGGACTGAAATTGTCAGAAAAACTTGAAATTTTTTCTTCAAACTTTGGAGGATGTTTTTCTAATCAATTATCTATTAATTTATCTATTACTGATTTAAATTGCTTACATAGCGAGCTGACAAATACTATGAGTGTAGAAAATATATAGTAGTTAATGAAAGAAAATTAAATACACTGTAATCATTTATTTATAATAATTTACTACAATAGTTTACACTTTATATATTACATGATAAGATACAAAAGTGACTTAGTAATACATAAAGTTCCTATAATGTTTAAATTTGAGTTATTTTTACTAACACCTCCTGAGGTTTTGGATTTTTCACAAAACTCCTTGAGGTTTTAGAAATTACAAGAACACCCCCCTAAGGTTTTAAATTATTTTAACAAACTCATTTTCATTGATTTTTCATCCGAAGATTGATGATTTTATACCCCAAAAAAAAAAAATTTCTCCACATGACAAAGTTGGTCTTTTAAATTAGATTACATATACTTCATTGAGATTAATTTTGTCATTTGCATAAGTTTTTTTTTAATGAAATCATCAATTTTTAAACAAACAATCAACAAAAAGGAGTTTTGTGAAAACAAACTAAAACCTCAAGAGACATTTGTGTAATTTTTAAGACATGAGGGGATTTTGTGAAAATGCAAAAAACCTCCGGATGTGTTAGTGTAAATAACAAAATTTAATTACTAACATCTGTGTAACGTTGTGAGATTGATTAGTATGCTATGTCGCTCTCTCATCCTCCAAAAATCAATTTGGACGTCACAGCCGAAAGAAGAAAGCCACCTCTGTTTCGTCCTCTTTGGCATCCTG